GAATTCCTCAGAGTGCCCTCTCCATCCTAATGAAGAAGAGCATGCTCCTGATTGTGCCATGCACCAGTCTTCAGATTCAGAGTGTCCAGTACATAGCAACATAATGCAGAACTCAGAAGATTGTCCACTCCATCCATCTGGAGTGCAAATCAGCATCACCTCTCCTGATTCTGAGCCGGCTGAGGCTGAAAAAGGAAACCATCAAACCGGGGACGGGGACACAGGTAGTCTAGACAGCCGCACAGCCTCGCGAGAATCCCTGGTTCGCTTCCATGCAGCCGATGGAGGGATATCTCCCAACAACACCCTTTCACAACACCGCACCTCAGTCTTCAAAAGACCAATAGGACGCAAACGTCGTCATGGAGACGATGGCTTTGACCACGAGATATCTGCCTTCTTCCCAGCCAACCTTGACTTCCTCTGTCTTCAGGAAGTCTTTGACAGGCGGGCCGCCGATAGGCTCAGGAGGCAGTTGCACCGCTATTTTCCCTTTGTACTGAGCGATGTAGGACGCTACGGCTGGAAAGGCTGTTGCTCCAGATTCAAGTTCTTAAACAGCGGTCTCCTGTTGGCCAGTCGCTACCCTATATTGGATGCTCATTATGAATGCTTCCCCAATGGGCGCAGCGAAGATGCTCTGGCTGCTAAAGGAGTACTTTTTGCCAAGGTAAGAGCTCAATATTCTTCTTACTAATGGGTTTGTTTATACTTGTATGTATGCCAGCATATAAGCCATTACTCTTGATTGGATTCCTATTGTTTATATATCTATGCATTGGTTTATGCTACACCTTTGGAGTAAATTGCAGCATTTAGCTTGATTAACTGCATCCCAACAGTTATTCTTCATAATTATCTGATGCATTCTGCGTATTAATGTTTGCTTAAGCTGTATATTTGCTGCACATCATTAGCACTTGTTCCAGTTTCTGAGCGTTTCATGGCACAAGTTGGGAGTTAAAGTTGGACTGGTGGTTTGAGTGTACACAAACATGCTGAATATTTTATAACTAGCCCTTTGTAGCCCAGAGGGTCTGTTTGAAACACTCATCTGCCATGCCTTTAGAAATGGTCTTTCTCTCTTTGTTGAAGCATGGTTACATGCACGGTTCCTGTTGCATTATATATGTTCTTAATGGGGCTGTGCACTTATGCTGAGTAGATATTACAATTTAAAAAGTAGTTTCACTCTGAAATATTTTCACTGTGCTTATTTGAGTGGATATTGTAAAGAGAGAGCCATTAGTCTTCCAGCAGTTGTTGCTAGTGTTATACATAAAGTTTATATAAGATGTAGTGAATGCGTGCACTAACATATAATGGATTTCGAACTAAAGTGGTGCTTAATTACTATGAGGAACGTCTATGCTAGTGTTTCCATAGAACCTCATGTATTTTGGGACTTTGGTAAACTAAATAGGAGGCGTAGGTTTTATTTAAACCAGGGGTCACCAAACTTGTTCCTGGAGGGCAGGAGTCCTGCAGATTTTAGCTACAACCCTAATCAAACACACCTGAATGAGCTAATTAAGGTCTTACTAGGTATACTTGGAACACCCAGGCAGGTGTGTAGAGGCAAGTTGGAGCTAAACCCTGCAGGGACACCGGCCCTCCAGGAACAAGATTGGTGACCCCAGATTTAAACATTGGGCCTTGGCCAGCAACATGGATATGTTTAGACAATTTTAACAAAAATGATTCCTAATAATTCAGACATGAATTAACTGATACACATATAATCACACATAACAATGCATGTTTTCATGCTAGCATATGGGTATGTGTTTACGTTGATCATTGTACTATTGGTTGAACATTTTGTTTATAATGACTTAAACTGATACTTGGTGATATTTGCTAATGTTAGCATGTTATGTTGGATGATTAGCATGTGTGAACTAGTGTCTGTAGTTGTGCATGATATTAGCTTGTGTTTTTGTTTGCGTAGTCCTCATTTAGAGTGATTATGAGCACAGGCTTTTAGGGTTGAGATATCATTACTCTCTCAGCGCTGTATCCAATTCTGGCCAAATTCCAGACCTAATCTCTTTTTCCCCTCCAAAAGGGCAAGAGGCCAGCCATCATTGTGTGTCAGACAGAGCTGCTAAATACTAACTCTGAATGTGTGTGTTCGCAAGAGAGAGAGAGAGAGCAGGCTGTTAAATATTGAGCACTGTATGCAGAAAAAAAAAAAAACTGAAGGTCGATGCCTTTGCCCTGTACTTGTACTTACTGAAGATATTCTTATTCGATTTGACTTTCAATCTTTCATGGGGGTGTAAGTTTAACCAAGTGCTCCCAAAAGTTATTGAAGCACTTTAAAACTCCTCCAAGGACACAGCCTTAGTTTTATCCTATTAAACCACAGGATATGTCAATCATGCAGTGCTGGGTGTTTCAAAAAAATATTAGGTTAATTATTACAAATTTCATGAGGTTATAACTAACAACAAATGATTTGTCCATCCACAGAACTTGATCCACGGCCAATTTGAAATATTTGTTACCTTAGGCTACAAAACCAATTATAAGTGTAAATTTAAATATATATATATTTGTAAATAACATCAAATTACCTATTTGGAAATCTGGAATCTGGGGTTCAAAAAAATTAAATGCTGAGAAAATCCCACTCAAAGATGTGCATATGAAGTGCTAAGCAATGTGCATTACTAATTAATAATAAAGTTTTTATATACTCTCACTGACCACTTTATTAGGTACACCTGTCCAACTGCTCGTTAACGCAGATTTGTAATCACATGGCAGCAACTTAATTCATTTAGGCATGTAGACATGGTCAAGATGGTCTGCTGCAGTTTAAACTGAGCATCAGAATGGGGAAGAAAGGTGATTTAAGGGACTTTAAACGAGGCATGGAAGTTGGTGCCAGATGGACTGGTCTGAGTGTTTCAGAAACTGCTGATCTACTGGGATTTTTACACACAACCATCTTTAGGGTTTACAGAGAATGGTCCAAAAAAGAAAAAATATACAGTAAGCGGCAGTTCTAAGGGTGCATATACCTTGTTGATGCCAGAGGTCAGAAGAGAATGGCCAGAATGGTTCGAGTTGATAGAAAGGCAACAGTAACTCAAATAACCACATGTCCAACCTTGAGGCGGATGAGCTACAGCAGCAGAAGACCACACCGGGTGCCACTCCTATCAACTAAGAACAGGAAACCGAGGCTACAATTTGCACAAGCTCACCAAAATTGGACAATAGAGGATTGGAAAAATGTTGGTCTGATGAATCTCGCTTTCTGCTGCGACATTCGGATGGTAGGGTCAGAATTTGGCATCAGCAACATGAAAGCATGGATCCATCCTGTTTTGTATCAACAGTTCAGGCTGCTGGTGGTGGGGTGTATTGGTTTGGGGATATATTCTTGGCACACTTTGGCCCCATTAGTACCAATTGAGCATTATGTCAATGCCACAGCCTACCTGAGTATTATTGCTGACCATGTCCATCCCTTTATGACCACAATGTCTCCATCTTCTGATGGATACTTCCAGCAGGATAACACGCCATGTCATAAAGCGCGAATCATTTCAGACTGGTTTCCTGAACATGACAATGAGTTCACTGTACTCAAATGGCCTGCACAGTCACCGGAACTTAATCCAATAGAGCACCTTTGGGATGTAATGGAATGGGAGTTTCACATCATGGATGTGCAGCCGACAAATCTGCTGCAACTGCATGAAGCTATTATGTCAATATGGACCAAAATCTTTAAGGAATTATTCCTGTACCTTGTTGAATTTATGCCATGAAGTACTCAGGCGGTTCTGAAGGCTAAAGAAGGACCTACCCGGTACTAGTAAGGTGTACCTTATAAAGTGGCTGGTGAGTGTATATAATATATGAAATTTACGAAATGTAAAGCATGATGTTTACTTATTTTTCTAATGATTGTCATAAAAATGAACAAAAAAGTATTTTTGCTTTTGCCAAAAATTTTACCCATGCAACAGAAGACAGATTTAAATACTTAATGAGTTTAAAGACCAATCAGATTTCAAAGTGGGCAAAGGCACCCACATTTACAGTGTTTGATCAGGATTAGAGCCTGTTTAAATTTTAAGGAAAACTTTGCACAGTTATGGCAGAGATAATTGCGGAAAAGAGCTGATACGGAAATCCCACGAGAGCCTGTCAACTGAAGCAAAACCTCAAATAATTAGTTTGAAAGCTCACACTTCAGTGCTTTTAAGGAAAATGCATTTTTAGTTTAATTAACACACTCAGATGGAACGGGATGTAAAAGGTCAGCCACTGCCTCTTTTGTGCTACCCTGAAGACACCTTTTCTAAATTGCGGAAGCTACTTTATTTTTTATGTCATAATTTTTTCTTAATAATTTGCCATTGTATTATTTAATCAAAACAGATTAGCCTCCCTTTTTCAACAACATCGCTTATTAGATGTGGAGATGCGTAATATTCAGTGAGGATCTTACACTTGACTTTTCTGCTGACTGTGTTTCTGCGCTAACACCCTGGCTGTTTTAGGCCTGTCATGGATAAATAATTATGACACTAAAACTGCCAGTAGGTGCGTGACAAGTGACAGGTCCCTGTCTTAGTGTGCTTTCACATTTAGTTCGATCGCCTTGTTCGATTGACCCCTCTCCCCTCCCCCACTGCACTGTGTTCACATGCTGGTTTTTGGTTCTGAATTCCAGTGTGTTTGCTACATTACAATGGCAGATGTTGCTAGGCAGGGGCACTGCTAGACCCCGTTTACTGGGGAACGTGCCATAGTAATGTATGTAATTTTATGTGTATTGGTACTGTGTATTTATATAACACATTTATTGTGTATGGCCATACACCCAAAGCGCTTCACAATCCTGAGGGGGGGGGGGGGGGGGTGTTGTCTCTCCACACCTCCACCAGTGGGCAGCATCCACTTGGATGATGTGACGGCAGCCATATTACAACGGCGCCAGTGCGCTCACCACACACCAGCTATTGGTGGAGTGGAGAGACAGTGATAGAGCCAATTCGGTGGAAGGGGATGATTGGGAGGCCATGATTGTAAGGGCCAATAGAGGGACTTTGGCCAGGACACCGGGGTTACACCCCTGCTCTTTCATAAAAAGTGCCATGGGATTTTTTAATGACCACAGAGAGTCAGGACCTCGGTTTAACATCTCATCTGAAAGACGGTGCCCACTGACAGTGTAGTGTCCCCTTCACTTTTACTGGGGCATTAGGACTCACACAGACCACAGGTTGAGCACCCCCTGCTGACCTCACTAACACCACTTCCAACAGCAACCTAGCGTTCCCTAGTGGTCTCCCATCCAGGTACTGACCAGGCTCAGCCCTGCTTGGCTTCAGTAAGTAACCGGTCTTGGGCTGCAGGGTGAAATGGCTGTGGTAAAAGCTTTGAGGTACAAATTACTTTATATTCAAGCTGCACGATATTAAAATACAATTAATGTGACGCAGAAGGCCCCTCCTGGCCCATATCTGTCAGCTGATAACCACTGATAACGCCCAGTCAATTAATTGATAAAATTTGAATCGGCTGCTTATTGTGATTAAACATGGCTCCAGTAGATTAGCATTTTTTGTATGGAGCACAATAGAGAGATGAAGTGTCAGGAAAGTAGGCTTAATAAACTTAATTTCTGCCCTCAGACAACAAATA